TACATACTTTAGAAGCAATAAATGCAATAACGTTTTCTCATCCTCACACTGATATCATGGAGGGACAGATGTCCATTTATAGTTGTTTAGGTCAAAATACAAAGAGTAACTTTCTTAGATGTACATGACATTCCCCCTTTATTTATATATATATGGTGCCATCCATGTGACATGTAATGTAGACATGTACACATGCCGTTTATGGAACATATTTAACATCTTACTGTGATAGATCTGAAGCTATATGTGTGCCATACGCTTCACTTTCTCCCACTCACATTTATTATGATGGCTGACCTACAGACCAGCACATAAGAAAAGACACAGATTTTCAGTAAATGTTACAGGAAACAGACAAGCTGATTGGTGCTAAGCTTGTATAGCCACAAGCAGTGTTGCTCCTTTTGATACTGTTTAAAAAAGACTTTAAGACCCTTTTCCCATGACTGAACATCACACAGACTTGGAAGTGATCACATGAAACCGCACATCAGAAGGGAAAAAACATCCACAGTATAAATTCTCAAATGGCCAGTGTTCAAACAACAATACACTATATCAATGGCGGTTAACCAACCAAGATACTTCTGCTTCATTTAAATTCTTTAAAATCCATGCTAAAGAGCTGTTTGATGGCAAAATACAGAAATAGAAAAAACTCTAAAACTCCTAAAGTCTCCCGACATCCTCAAGAACTACAAGGGCAATTCTAAGTGACTTTTTTCCCTACATACCTGCTCCTCTCCTGTTGGGAAATACAAAATCTGAGGATACTTTATTGCATTTGATCCCCCATTCATCTCTCATGTTGTAGGCCTAACCAGCTCCCAGAGGTAGAAACGAGTCAAGAAGAATAGAGAAAACTGTGACCATCCTTCAACAGTTATTAGAGATTCAGCCGTCAGTGTGAATGAGATAAGTACAGCACAAGGCAGAAAGAAAAAGGTACAGGAACAAAGGAGAGGGACAGGAGTAGAATAGTTGAGCGTGGAAAGGGAACACAAGAAAGATGAAGAGAATAAACAGATTATAAAAGAGGGATGGAATACAAAGAGAAAGAAAGAGTAGAAAGGACGGATATTTCAACATAAAGTAAGTGCTGGTTTTTGGATTGTGATGTGCAGGCGTGTCTCAATCCCAGAGTGTGAAATACATACGGTTGGGCAGCGGCCTTCTTATTTGTAAACCTTGATCTTTTCTCTTGGCCAAACCAAATGAGTTAACCACGCGCAAACCCTCTGCTTCAAGACACTACAAACAAACCTGCCCAAGCGGCTGTAGGGATGACATTACATAGGTCTTTGGGAGCAAATTTATCAAGTTTGCTTTATTTATAGAGCACATTCATAAACAAAGAGTTGACCTGCGCTGAACAGTGGTCGATCATTGAAATCAGACAGAAAATGCTTGGATTGAGATACCTTTGAGAAGGTTAAAAGCAAGCTGACAATTTTGATTAGTTAATAATAATGGCACAAATAAAAGAAAAATACAAATATACAAGAATTGTATTACGCTTCCCACAGAATAGAGAGAACAAACACAAGCAAAGTGCATTGTTTTCTTAGATAAATGTATTTCATCATACATATATATAACCAACACATCTCAGAGATCAAGCTCCTTAAAGGCTACATTACCAGCAGCATAATAACGCTCAGAAGAAAGACCAACATACAGTATTATGGTACAACTAAACACGACCGACAGTTACGAAACAAACTTTGTAAGACACAAATCATCACGAAATATATAAGATATATAAAAATACTAAAATAAAATCCTTTGTCAAGATTTTCCTCAAGACATGATTATCAAATGAGTTGCCATGGAACTCTATCATGAAGTGAAAATGATCATAACAACACACACACACAGAGAAAACACTGCCCAAGGAAACACAGCTTTAAGAACATAATCCTTTATAAAGTCATAAATTACAAACTACACAATTCCAAAAAACATCCATATACACCACACCACCAGTAACCTGATTATTGAAAATGTGTCAGTCGTATCCAGTGATTCATAACTTAATCAGGGCTATTTTCAGTTATACTTATTCATGGAGTTAGGCTGTCCTTACTTTACCATTTGCAGCCTATAGAGTTGATGCACCATGACAAAGATCAAGTCTAGCTATATACAGTTATTATATAAAAGAGATGAAAAAGTTCCTTGGATTGATCATAAAATAGGTCATTAACACAGAGATCCATCATGTACTATCATCAGGTATACCAAGAGCAAGAGCATATTTCAGAAATGCGAGTTTTGAGGATTGAAGGCAAAACTAAATGCCATTGGTGAGATCGTCACGTCACATGGTGCCTGTATATCAAATGCCAATCAGCTAGTGCGAAAAAATATTTAAATATTTTGTTACCAGTGGTGGGGAGATAAGATTATTTGAATGCGAGATATCCATCTGACAAGAAAGTGTATTCATCCTTTTAGGGAGCATAAGCACATGTTTTTTTAAGAGGCCATAGTCCTATTTCTGATGGCGTCCTGGTTTTTTGCAATGTGAAATTGTAGAGAAGCAATATTGACTAATCTGCCATTTAGAGAATGCTTTTTGGCAAAAATTACACAACACTGCATTATTAATTGCTTTTTCTTTGATGCATATCTTTTAGCTTGGACTCATAATAATTACCTTTTTAGACTAATCTAGTTATTTGCAACAGTTCACTTACTCTACCATGATAGGGATTTGTTAGTGTTGGTTCATGTGCTGCTATATTTTCCTCTGCTGATGTGCCTACGGACCAACCACAGTCGCAAAAGCTCTGCAGCACCACCCTTTAACTAAAAAGCATGTAGTTTGTGTGTGTTCGTGTGTGTGTGTGTGTGTGTGTGTGTGTGTGTGTGTGTGTGTGTGTGTGTGTGTGTGTGTGTGTGTGTGTGTGTGTGCGTGCGTGCGTGTGTCTGGCTTGGTGACACAGGGGGTAAGGAAGTGCATCTGTTATGGATATAATCGATACCGCAGGAAGTGACTTCTGGTACCATTTCAAATTTGTATGTGTAAACAATCCTTTTGACAAGTGATATCATGTTCAACTTTGTACTTCAGATGTGAAATACTGAAGGGCCGTGTTGGTTTTCTCTATTTTGATTTGATGTCTGAATTGGAATTCCCATGACCCAACTGTTACAGATACATCTTGTATAACTGGGAAGCAGAGAGACAGGCTCACGAATAGGTAGTATAATCAGCGAGGGTAAAAACAGAAGTGAGAAATATGTGTGATAAAAAGGCCTTAAGGATTTTGAAGGTCTTAATATGTTCTAAACTATGGTTCGACCCCCTCAAGACAAATATTACCAGATTGATTTATTGTCCACATGATTCAGAGTGGTTTATACTGTTTCTATGTATTTCATTTATTTATTTAATAAGGGCTGCAAATAAAATGCATTTGTGTTTAAGCTTTACAAATTGATTTCTCACCCCCTGGGTGGTACGTAATGAGAGTTACTAGGCATGGAAGAAAAAGCAATCTTTCAGTACTTAAAAAAGTTATCTAAGATAAGTACTTTTATTTGCTTTCTTTTTAGATTTTTTGCAACACCTGATTCCATTTTCTTCAAGGTTTAAAGGATGAATGCGTTGTGTTTGTTCAATTTTGTCATTTCACAGAAATAGTGGCCTCAGTGACTGAATTTGTAATAACCACTTATACACCTAACACACCATGCTGTATTTAAGATACTCTTGAAGAGCAATTTTAAGAATTAGAGCATCATGTATAAAACCTTGAATAAAAGCAGGATTGAAACATGTTTTGCCTTGATGTACAATACACCAAAAGCAAAGGTTTGTCACAAGAGCTTTCCTGTGCATTTTCTTCTCTTCATCCCTTTGTGTTTTATGAATATCATAACTCCATAATGACTACCCAGTGTGTACCAGCTCAACAGCACATTCTGCCTTTCTTGAAAAACAATTGTAGCTTGAGGCAGTAAGTACTCTGAACTTCAAGCCTCTAAAGAGTTGGCATATTAAACTAAATTCTTATTAGAAGTGGTGAGAGCTGGTAGATCTAATATCATTATCAAAACAATCATGTTTGCAATAGAAGACTATAATGATATGGAAAATATCTTGTGAACCGAATTCAAGCACAGTATCGCAGCCAGAGCTAATTCTAAAAGGCTCAAAAGTATTGCAGTCTGTGAGTACAACATACTGTATATCCTAAAAAAATCATTTTTTTAAATTTTCTGACACATTGAAATCATACAAACTTAGCCTGCATGCCGTCAATACGAGAAATAGGAGGCATGGGGCTCGTAAGTGGGGAAAAACATAATTGCCTTAAGGTCTTCAGCCTTGTCTTTAGAGTAGCAAGGACTATGCCTGAGGGTCTGAAGCCGTCCACTGGGTCTCTGAGAATGTAATATGTTGTTGCTTGAGGCACTATCTAACCATGTTTCAAAGGTTATCAAATCTTAATATGTCATGTTTTCAGAACAGAGATTCAGAGTATTCAAATAAATGCTCTTTTTCAAGTTTAGTTCAGTATTTATATGTTCCACTGTGTGTCCTTCAACTCAAAGTAACATGCTAAATGCTGACGGCAATAAAACATTTTGACAACAGTGTTGTTTGATAAACCTGAGTCTTTTCCCTTTTCTTTCCTTGATCTGGTAATTTTGTGTTAATGGATATAATTATAATTTGAGTTATGTGTGTTTGAAGACAAAGATATGAGTCACAAAAACCTGCTCGACCCCATCTTTGTGGTCCTATTGTTTGAGTTGGAAAATCAAAAGCTGTCATGCTGGTAAATTGGAAACAGTTCATTATGTTGAAGCAGAAAGCCTTTCTGTACGGCCTGTGTGTTTAATCCAAACTATGCCCCATTTAACTGCAATAATTGAAACTCTGACAATTATTAATGCCTGCAGTCCCACAGAAAGACAGACACAACCAAATGTATCTCTTAACTACACATATCCTATTAACAATATGCGGTCGTAGCGGCACGGGGTAGGGTGGAGGAAGCACGCCTCAACTTTGAGCGTGAACCAACCTTGGAGAGACGTGGGGTACTGAACGAAGCCAAACAGTTTATCTTCAGTACCTACGACACCATCAAAGGGGAGGAACTGATGGAGAGTGTGCGAAGAGTGCAGGCAGCGCAAGGTGAAAGGCAATATGGGGAGGCCTGGAGGGTCATCAATGAGATGACTGGGCGGAAGAGGACTAAGGAGGGACGGGTTGAGGGACACAGCCCCGAGGAGAGGGTGACGACCTGGTTCAACCACTTCCAAAGCCTGCTGGGCACAATAGCGGATGGAGCTGAGGAAAGTATACCAGCATTCCTCCAGAACCTGCCCATCAACGATGGTCCCTTCACAGCCAGTGAGCTTGCCAGGGCGAAGTCCACAGTGAGAGAGCGCAAAAGTGCTGGGCCGGATGGCATACCCCCGGAGGTCTTAAAGTACTGTGATCTCGATGACCTCATCCTAGACTTTTGCAACCTCGCTCTACTGCACAACATGTAGCCTGATATATGGTCTCTCTCCAACATCACCCTGGTGCCTAAAGCTGGAGACCTCTCAAAGCCAGACAACTACCGAGGCATCAGCCTGACATGTATCACCGCAAAGGTTTACAACCGGATGATACTGAAAAGGATACGGCACGCCATCGACTCTCACCTGAGGGAGAACTAGAATGGCTTTCGAGAGGGGAGAACCACCGCAGCCCAGATCTTGGCACTAAGGAGAATGATCGAGGAGGTGAAAAAGGATAACCTGACTGCTGTACTGTGCTTTATCGACTTCAAAAAGGCATTTGACTTGATCCACAGAAGCACAATGGAGAAGATCCTTGAGGCCTACGGTGTCCCTCCCAACCTACTCCGGGCAATAGAGACCATGTACACCGGAACAAGGGCCAGGGTGGTGACCCCAGATGGCAACAGCGAGGAGTTTGACATCCTAGCTGGGGTAAGACAAGGGGACACCCTGGCCCCCTTCCTCTTCATCATGGTCCTGGATTATGATCTTAGGAAGGCCATCAGTGGGCGAGAGCGGGATCTTGGTTTCACCAAGGAGATCGAGACGACACCCCACAGTAGTCCTGACAGACCTGGACTATGCGGACGACATCAGCCTGCTCTCCGACAGCGTGGAGCAAGCACAGGAACTCCTGAACAAAGGTTGGCCTTAGGCTAAACGCCAAGAAAACTGAGGCTATCACCTATAACATCTTACCGGGACATCCACCTCTGACAACAACAGAAGGCACTGTGCTTAAAGAAGTCACGGACTTCAAGTACCTGGGCTCATGGGTCAACTCAACCGAGCAAGATCTTAAGGTGAGGAAGGCACTTGCATGGAGGGCCCTGAACGGCATGACCAGTGTATGGAAATCCAACCTCCCCCGTCAAATCAAACTCAGCTTCTTCTATCGAACGTTAGAGTCTGTTCTCCTCTATGGCAGTGAATGCTGGACCCTGAAGCCAACCCTGCAAAAGTCTCAAGACGGATGCTACACCAGAATGTTGCGAGCAGTACTTAACATCAGCAAGAGTGTACATGTAACCAACAAGATCCTGTACGAGGGAATACCAAGGGTGAGCGAGAAAATTGCAGCCAGGAGAATGAGACTAGCAGGACATTGCCAAAGGCATCAAGAGCTGCCAGCCAGCAAATTGGTGCTGTGGGAACCAACACACGGGCATCGGTCACGAGGACGTCCCGCACAAACATACGTGGACTTACTCAAGAATGACGCAGGAGCACAAAGTACCAATGAACTGGCCAGATGTATGGAGAACCGGGATGACTGGAAGCAACGATGGAGGGCTCGTATGAGGACGACCTAGAGAGATATGCAGAAATATGTAGCTCAAGAGCTCCTTAAATAGACAAATATTTAAATCTTACTGCTGGCGCAGATACAAACAGTGATGTCATCAGTGAAAAATAAATTGTACTTATATGATTGTTTAAATCATATTACGGAAAATGTGAACAATTAAGGATGGATGACTGGATGAAAGTGATCAAGGGACATCACTAACTTTGGTCGATTATAAGCATGTCCTGTAAATCCTTTCACATCTGCACTAAAGATATCAAATTGATCGCTGGGATTAAGGTGACATTTTCAATTTTATGAAAAATGTGATGCTAAATCAGCATCTGACATTTTTCATTAAACTTTAAAAATCCTAATCTTCTATAATCTATTACATTTTAATCAGTTTTACACTTTTAGAAAAATCACTCATCATGTTTGGACAAAAGCCAATTTGTCAAGCTATGTATATAATAACAAGAAAATATGGTTGTCTCTGAAAATGAAAACAGCTGACAGTAAAACATGGAAACACTAAATTAGGATTCATTGTTATAATAATTGTTAAAGCCAAGCATTGGGTAAAGATGTACCTACCCAAGGTGGTTGTACCTATAAAAGCAATCATGTTTATTATGTTTATTTATTTATTTACTCAATAACCTTAACTGTCTCACTATAGGTCCCATTAAAGAGCATTCAACTCTTATTACAAAAATACATATTTAGATTTGTTTTCCAATCACACTTGATTCCCTTATAAATATCATAGTACATAATACATAGGTCAAACCACGGAGCACTGAAGGATTTTGAAACACGTTCTGCTACAGTATCAGTATGCCAAAAATTAAAATTATGCCTGATGTTCTTAATTACCAGCCGTGGCAGCGTGTGGTTGCCAGCAGCGACAGCGTGTTGCTGGTTTTGTTTTCACCTTTTGAGTCAGTTTGACAGTGTGTGTCATCACAGCAACATGTGCTCCTGGAGAAACTTACTGTAGCGGGAACTGAAACAGAAGGTGTTTTCAGAACTTTGCCAAGTTTTTCCTGTGGATCAATTCTGTCACAACTGTTCAAGATGCAGTCACAACACTTTACAGGTGTGTTTTTGAGGTTAAAATGAAGGCACAGTTAGGATATGGGTGTCAGCCAGGCAAGGGTGAAGAATAGGAAAAGAAGAGGGAGGGACCCCCCCAATGGCCCGATTTGGCCTTGCGTCTGGTTATACAGTATACTGAATACAGTCAAGGTTATACATTTAATTAAGTGTCTACTATATATTCATCTTTGTCATCATCTTATACCTAGTGGGCCACAGAACTCATTACATTATGTGTATCCGAGCCACAGTGTTTAGCACCAAGGAAAGCACATTCTTTGATTAAAATAAGCAGCAAACCTTTAAATAACTTAAACAACTTTCTTTTTCTGTAACTGTAGTTTAATCACCCATCTTGTTATATTCAGTATGCAGTATGAGTACCTAGCAACTGTAATCATTTTTCTCTTCAAATGAATATATTTTTTGTGTGAGTCTAAAAAGGTTAAGAGGTATTAATAACAACTCGACTACGACTTTTAATTTGAACAGATCATGATAATCATTTAACATCAAGGATGTGTGATGTGCTTAATATTATGGCTGTATAATTTCAAAGTGTAAAATAATATTTATCTTAAACTTGCTTCAACACTGCAAGCTTTGCATCACCCTGTTTGTGAAAAATGTTCACTTGATCAAGTAATTTAATTTCATTTATGTACGTATTTACTTCTTAATGTTTGGTTTCCTCAAGACAGGTCATTAATAAAGCATTTTATCTCCAAATGTAAAAAGATGGATGATAAAATAAACTTTTTTTTTTGTTTAGCAAAGTGTGCCAGAGATCTTGTTCTCAAACCAGTGTCACTGTTACACAAAGGTAAATATCGCTGTTTATGAAGTTTCTTCTGAACTAAAGGACATGCTTATGACAACTGCCCTTTAAAAAGTATAATATTGATTGAAAATCGGTGAAAAGTGTGAACATTGAACCACTAACACAAATGGATTAGACCCAACAGCCAGCTGGGATGATTTATCACAAACCTGAGCGGTGAAATATATTTCCTAGCTTAAGGCAAGTGTTGGGGAAATATTTTCCAAGGCCCATAACTTTGACCCAGTTTATCAGTTCAAACTGTCCTGACTGAGCACACGCACCTGTAACCTTGGCTGCTGTGCTCTCAGTGTTCTGTCTCCCTGTTCCTGCCTGTTGGCGTCAGCTGATAGAGGTGTTATGATTCTATCTTGTTATGCAGCATGTTGATTATTCTCTCTGAACTAGCTAAATACATGGGTCTGGGGTAGAGTTCTTCAGATTTGACGAGGCAACTCTCCCGTGCAGTCAGACCGTGACTGCTGTGACTTGTGATGTGAATCCTCCGGCCGAAGCTCCAAATAAACCATCAGTGTTTGACATCAAAGCTCCTGCTCTTCCCGTGTCTCCTTCATGAGTCGGTGACTCCCACTGCATTGCTACACAGAAGTTTCCCTTACAGTAAGAAGTCCACATAAGTACTTTTCTTTTTTCAATGATAGTTCTTGATTTAAAGGATGGACCGAGCTGGATTGACTTCAATTAGACGATCGTCGTCAGACAAAGTCATTAGAATTGGCATCTTGGGAATGCATTTATTCCAAACTGCATTCAGCACAAAAGCACTCATGTAATCAATAGAAGACAATCTCTGTGAAGTTGAACAGCATAACCTTTCCTTGGAAAAAAGATTGAACAAACAACAGTTGGACACTCGACGACATGCAGAGCCCTGGATAAACTGTGTAATCCAAACATGTCTACCTATAACACAGCCCTGAGATGTTCCACTATACAGGGTTAGTAGTGACTATTAAAGTCGTTTTATTAAAGTCCTCTCATTGAGATTTTAACAGTGCAATGAGTATGTATTGCATGTTGTATATTTTCCTTTTGGGCAGCTGAGAGTGGATGATAAAATGAAATGGCATGGTAATAGCATTTCAGTGTTTTGAACAACATTGAGTGGACAACCTTTACGAGATTCTGGAGTTGGCCTTGCAATTGGTTGTTCCAAAATCCAATCAAACAAGATTATAGTTAGATATCAATCTTTCAAATACCCCATCCATTCATCAAGCAAATTGTATCATTCCTATCCAGTTATTTTTGCTACATGAAATTCTTTCTACTACCAAAATATGGTCAACTGGTATAACCATAAACTGGTATTTAAGTAATAAGAAGGAAAGGGTATATTTGGTTGCATTCAGAAAGACAATTTCCCAAAAAATAAGTATAACAAATCAAACCCTTTTTTATTACTTCTTTTTTTAAATCCATCAAAGGCAAATGAATCCAAAAAGCTACGAATTACCACCAGAGACAAGTATTCCAAGCCCTAATAGCTGCCATATCAGGGATCAAAACACTTTTCTTAAAGTGAACTTTCCAGACGTGAGTGGTGCAGAACAGCGGCAGGTGTCAAAATGATATTGCAGAGAACCTTAATCAAAAGTAAAAAAGCAGGGGTTGTCTGCTAGATTCGGCAGAACGGGAACAGAATTACATCAAACTAGCAATGTATTCCAAAATGAAAGACGCAGACACACTTGCACACATACAGTGCAGTATGTGTTCACATAATTAAACACTATGCACTTACTCAACATTAAAGTTAACACACCATAGACTGGTCCTGTTAAAAGCTAAATAAAGTCCATGTTATTTGCTGTATGAGAAAATGTTACTATAGTGTAATGCTACTAGAAAATACTTGTAGCCTACTAGCCCAAGCCAGCATTTGTTGATCCTGCCAGACTTTTTCCTACTAAAGGTGTTAAATGT